TAAATTCAGAGTTTTTTCAGTTTCCATTACAACTTATTACAAGTTACAGTTATTAACCACGGCAACATTGCATTCTCAGGAGATTTGTTCAGCTGTGCAGTATAAGCAGGAGGAAGGTTGCTGCTGGAGATAAAGCATCCCACTTCCTTGCATCTGCATCTGCCAATGCGTGCCTGCCCACCCTTCCTTTTATCCTGTTGGCTGCATTTTCTATTTTGGTTCTGGGCTCATGTGATTTCACAGAAAAGGGTTGACAGTAAATTGCATCATGAAACCCACCTCAGATACTTAAATGTACATGTAGTTTTTGTAACTAAGTAAAAATTAATCCGTGAATAAATGCCACAAAGCAAATGTAATTGTTCATGTTCTCACCAGACTAACCTTCAAACTTGCATGGGTTTAGAGCTTTTTTTTTTACTTTTCTGTTGCTTTAGAAAAACTTGTCCAGTAAAGAGTCTGTTGCAAAAAGACCATTATCAGTGACCTGTTACAAACCACCCTAGCCCAGTTCCATATATTGGGAGAGAGCCTACCTTTTGTGTCTACCTTTTGGAATTCTATACTAATTGACTTGTGTATGTTCAGATGGTCCTCACATATCCCTTGATACTTTCTCACCTAGCAGTATGTTTAACCTCACTATTTGAGAATCATGTTAAAATGATTCAAGTGGGAATGAATGAAAACTGGTGCAGGAAAGGTGTGCCATATTTGCCCTTTACCCAAATCAAATCAGTATTTATGAAACAGCCCTTGTCCTGCCAGTTACTTATGAGACTTTGCAGGTACTGTCATGGATGAGAGTAGGCCTGCCTACCAAGCACAAGCCTAGGGGTCCAAAAAGTCAATCATATGACTACAAAAAGCCACAAAATGAGAAAAATCAAATGCAAAACAATAGGACATAACATGACTAAATCATAATGAGTACAAAAATATGCCAAATCACAAAAAAGACACAAAACAAAGCAACTACAAAGAGATGCAAAGCAATAAAAAGTGGACAAAAAGCAAGTAAAACTAGAGAAATTCATTTCCTGTCGAAAATGCGTGTAGATGCTGTGATGCTGAAGGATCACCCTGAAAATGCCTGATATCAATTGCTGAAACAGCTGAAGGATGAGTAGAAAATACTGAATTTTTTTGTTAAAATAGTTGAGAAGAAATGGCTGAAGTTCTTTGTTGAATAATCTGAAGGATGAGATGAAATAAATGAAGCAGAAATGATGTTGAAGTAGAGCTGAACATTTTGATACCTGAAATAGCTGAAAGTATGCTGAAGTAGAATATCTCCATTCATTTGAATGGAGAAAGATTTTTCTGAATAAAACTAAATAGTCTAAAAAATTCTGAACAGAAGCATGAAGGTCCTTTAGGACCAGAATATTTTGATACCTGAGATACCCCTGAAAGTATGATGAAGTAGAATTTCCCCGTTCATTTGAATGGGGCAAGATTTTCAGAATAAAGCTAAATATTTCAAGAGTATGAAGTTTAGAAAAATTCTGAAGAGAACCATGAATGTCCTTGAGGAGATGAACATTTTAATACCAGAAATTATGCTGAAGTAGAATTTTCCCATTCATTTGAATGGGGCAAGATTTTCAAAAAAAAAGCTAAATATTTCAAGAGTATGAAGTTTAGAAAAATTCTGAAGAGAAACATGAATGTCCTTGAAGAGCTGAACATTTTGATAGCTGAAAGTATGCAGAAGTAGAATTTTCCCATTCATTTGAATGGGGCAAGATTTTCAAAATAAAGCTAAATATTTCAAGAGTATGAAGTTTAGAAAAATTCTGAAGAGAAGCATGAATGTCTTTGAAGAGCTGAACATTTTGATAGCTAAAATAGCTGAAAGTGCTGAATCAGCATCCATACAATAATTATAAATAATTGGATAACATAGTATGGATGCTGAATCAGCATCCATACAATAATAATAAATAATTGGATAACATAGTATGGATGCCGAATCAGCATCCATACAATTAAAAGATGAAATCATGACCAGTGTTACCAGAACAAAAATGTTAGCTTTAGATGCTAACACAACCAGAAGGATCATAGCCAGATCTGAACCAATCTGAGTCCTCCCGCTGCTTTTAGAGCTCTCCATCTCCTGGTTTTTGCTCTCTGTCCCAGTGCAACCTCTTCAGTGTGGTAGGCACTATTTCGGACCTGTAGCTGTCATGGCTGTCTGTTCAAACTGACTATACTGTATATGACTCAAAAAACTTCTTAAAACCTTCACAAGGTGGCAGGACTGGTTAATTAATGGGATATATTTTCAAAACCCAGTTTAAAAAAGCTGGAATAACAGAAGTGCTGTTGGCTGCAGTGTCATGGAGGTGGATAGTACAGCGGAGAGACATGATGTCCTGTCCCATTTTCACTTGATTTATCAGACAATGTGTAAAATCTTATTTAAGGCACCTTTAGGCAGGTGTATTTTATTATAAACTGTTACTGATTTATGTCTCTGTGTGCAGCTGGTGGCAGAACTAGAAATTTCAGCCTGATGTCTTTACTGAGCAGTTACTGAAGAGAGCTGCAAGCTGTGTCAGTGACTACACTGACTTCATTTTCCTTTGTGTAGTCCAAATTTAGAAAGAAAGATGATGTACAGAATCTCAGGTGATTAAAAAGAAAGCAACACAAGTGTTTGAAGTCCTACTCACTGTATGGATGGGCTGCAGTTGACCAGGCAGTGCAACACACCCAGCAAGTCGTCTTCCTAGTACAATTCACTGAACCGTTCCTTCACAACACTGGCAAACGTGTGGTACTGAAGGTCCTTCAAAGAGAAGCTGTACTCCCCTTGAAGAAGACAAAAAAAAAAAAGAATTGAGATAACGCTTTATCTTTTCTTATTGGCATCCCGACAACTCAGTTTGAGGGGCAAACTTTGTGTCAGAAAGACAAACAACCTCAGTGTAATAAGAACCAGTCGACAATATCAGCTACATACTGTACGTACATTATTTGAACACTGCAGAGAAACCTCCAAACACTGGAGCTGCTCTATCTAGGTATGTGGAACAATACAGAGTGTTGCCTGCAGAGGTTAACATATCCATGAGGGACTGTAAATGTTGTACTGAAAACTTCTAGGAACTAGTGAAACAAATTTGACTATTCTCAGAAGAAAATATCTTTAGGTTTACAAGAAATATTACCAAACAGGAAACCTTAAGAGAACATTACAGAAATTCTGTAAGTATTTAACTCGTAAATCAGTGTATTTGTTTGGGTGTTTTTTTTAATCATTTTTTTCTGCAAGATTACATAAAACATATAATACAAATCCTTAGTTATAAAAGGAATAGTTTACCATTTTGAAAAAACAAAAACCAATGTGTAAAACTGATATGCTGTGGTTCATAAGCCTGAAGCTGGGTATCAAGCAACCTCACAGTGATGACAGAACTTTGGGACATTACTGTATCAGAATTGTTAAATACACCTTTTTGTATGGATGAAATAAACACAGAGAATATTACAGATGTTGGTAGGGAGATTTATTTTCTTTGGACAGGCGACTCTGCTAAGCTATGATAACCAGCTTCTGGTGCTACCTTCATAAGTAGCAAACCAACATGTGGGTGGTATCAATCTTCTCATCTAATTCTTGGCAAGAATGAGGATAACTATATTTCTCAAAACATCAACCTATTCCATTAAATATATTTGTAACATTTATCGCAAACAATACCCATCCTCCATAACTATGGCCAAAGCAAATTAAGCAATAAAGAAGTGACATATTAGAGTCATCTAAAGACACATACCCATGGCGATATCCTTGTGGCCATTGTTCAAATACCCATTGTGCTGGAACACCCATCAAGTGAAAACTCTCCTTTGAGCAGGCCAATCACTTCCTGGAAGGCAGGGAGGACTTTGCAGGAGATGTACTCTGAAGGAGACAGGCTCATACCTTGTGTTCCTGAAATTGTCTGTCCATTGTAAGCCCCAGGCTCACTGTACTTCGGAGGGCTGTCAGAAATGATAGAGCTACCACTGAAATAAGATGACAGTAGGCCATATTCCTGAGATTCAGGCTTCATGGGCACAGTCGGGCAGTTAACAAATGAACCTTCAGTGCATCCTGGAACTGTGATTAGTGCCTGCAAAGGCTGTGGGATCAGGGAGAGATTTATTTCCAACCTGATGAGAGGCTCAGGAGCCCTGACCTGCACAGGTACTAAAGAAAGATGTCCTGTTGTGGGATCATGACGGAAAAGGTAATTGTTGAAAACACCACAACCACTGAGATTAGAAAATAATGACTGAGGAAGAGAGATTTCAAAATGGGAAATACCACGTAGAGGGGATGGAGAGTTATAGTTGGAAGTTGTAGTTATGGCTGCCTGCTCGATAGACGACTCCTGTGTAGTTAGACAGGGTTCAATCTGCACAGGATATGTATATTCAGTGTGTGAAGTGAAATTGAGGCTCCTTGTGAAAATTCATCCAGAATCCTGTAAAATAAACAATCCCTGATGAGTGATTGCCTTTTAAAGCTGTGTAGCATTTTTTTTCTAGATATTAGTTTTACTGCTTCCTCTTATTCTTTTTATATTCTTAACCATTTTAAATCCATTATATAAAAAACACATTTCTGAAAATAGACATAACAATCCCATATTTGTCCATTACATGTCAAAATACAGCCAGCAGCCAGTTAGCTTAGCATAAATACTGGCACTGGGAAAGCAGGCAGCCTGGCTTTGTCCAGAGGTAATCAAATCCACCTACCAGCCCTCTGAAGCTCACTAACACATAATATTTGCCATTTATTTATTTATTTATTCCCTATAATAACCAAACTGTAAAAACAAAAATTTGAATTTTTGTGGTGGCTTATGTTGGGCTATTTTTTGTAACAACTTCCTGAAGTCTTCTCATTACCGTGAGGTTGTCAGGTAAGCAGCAAAGACTTCGGGAAATCACTGTGCTCAGCCCAAGCTCCCAGGACCACAGCTGCTCTGTGAAGCAACCTTACCATAAATTTGGAAAATTAGATAAGAGCTGTAATAGCAAATTACCTCATGCAGCCAGCAGGAAGTCAGCCAGCTCAGAAAGAGTCCAACACTTAAGTCCTCTTAAAACTTGTGACACTTTACACTTGGTTAATGAACCAATTAAACAAATCAAGCAAGCAAGCAAGGAAAAGTTTATTTATATAGCACCCATCTAAACTAAAGTTACAACATGCTTCACAGTAAAAAAAAAAAAGAAAACAAAAAACATAATAAAACACTCTTAGAGAAAGTCACATTAACAACAAAATATTAATTAGTGAGCTTTTGAGGTGCTGGTAAATAGACCTGTTCTACCTTTCAACAGAGGCAGGTGAGCTGTTTCCAGTCTTTATGCTAAGGTATGCTAACCATCTTCTTATCAAGCTCTACAAGAAAACAAAGAAGTGGATTTCCTAAAATGTTGAAATATGCCTGTAAATTTTAATGACTTTTAGACTGAAAATTGTTTATTGCAATGCATTACCATTATATATTAAATATATGGAACATCCCACCCTTGACTGGCAGTTGCAATGTTGTGGCTCTCCTCCTCTGAGTCTGCTTCATTGGTCAGGATGATGGGTGTGAAGTGCGTAGCAGTGGAAGTGAAGGCCTCTGGGAGCAGGAGTTCCTTGCTGCCTGGATAGCTGTGGGGAACAGGGCCAGGTACAGCAGCCAGTTGGCTCACAATTCCCATGGGCACAAAGCCTACACACAGTTATGACAATGCCAGATAGAATGTCAGTGATACTGTCTCATGCAATGCACAAACTGTCAAAATGTAAGAAAGAGCTGTTCCTACAACAACAACAATCCTAGTTAAAAGCCGTGATGCCTCGTAGATTTTGTTTACTGAACCTCCCTCAATCATGACAAAAAGAAAATGGCAGTGCATATTGACAGCACAATTCAAAGGAACATATAATGTACTGTACATTTCAAGGGCAACTGCATGAGGGTCATCCATAGTAAATTAAAGCTGTCCTACCACCGCTGTTTTGTGCAGACTCTTCACATAAGCCTTGATGTGTTTGACTTGCACTCACATCTTCTGCATCACTAGATTTTGAGGCTGGCTGAAAGAAAATAAGTGTTTCATTACAATAATGAAAAATCCTATTTTTTTTTAAATGACATAAAACAGGACAGAACAGAAAGACACATACAGACTCTGTCACTGAGACTTACACAATATGTAAATATATCTGTGGTGAAAAACAACAGAACATTTACCGGGTGAACTCTTCTGACCAGGTTGTTCCAGACAGTCTCAGCATTTGTCCTTTGATGTGATAAGCAGTCCTGACAGCTCTGGAACAGATCCACATGAAAACAAGTATGAAATTCTTCACACACACAATCACACAGAGTAACTAATAATATCAGAATTAATTTGGCCCTGAAATAACTGAAGTGTTTGATAATAATATAAAACATCCAGTATTTTGAAAACTAACAAACAGTTACTTTTGCAAAATGACAGACCACATAACAATAAAAGTAAATTATGGTATTTTTTGGTAAGCACTTTGCTGACAAAATGGCAAAGCACTTAAAAAATTTGACTCTACATTTAAATTACAAGTGTTTTTCTTCTAAAAAGGATGTCCATTTGGAAGGGTGCTCCTCCCTGGAGGTCTAAAGGTGATTATAGCACATTGATATGCAAAATCAAATTGGGCTTTAAGACTTTTCATACAAAATCCAGTGCAAAGCACTTTCCAGAGTGAGACATAAAAGACAGAAAAGCAAAATAAAATAAGTTAGTCTTCCAGAATAAAGCAGAAGGCAACATAAGATATAAATAAATTGAAATAAAAAGAAAAGTAAAATGATTATGGTTATAAATGGATTTTTGTTTTCTGTTTCCTGTGTGAAAGCCTAAACATATAGTAGGAAACAGGCTATATGCTAAGGTTAGCATTTTAACATGCTTAGAATGACAATGCTGCTGATGTTTAGCAAATAATGTTAACCATGTTTACCAAGTTTAGCATGTAAGCATGCATTGTGAACATGCTAACATTTAGTTCAAATGTGATCACGTAATGTCATACGTGTAATTAAAACCTCGCAGGGCTACTAGCTCGTTAGTGTGGCTAAAATTTGCTTTTATGGCTTCTGTTTAAACTGTTTGCATGTTTGGTGACGTTTAGGTTTTACTTAAAAACAACCCAGTTTCTGTTTTGTAATACAACCCCAAATCAGCAAAAGTCGGGATGGTATGTAAAATAAAAATTAAAACTGAAAATAGTGATGTGTAAATCATCTGTGTCCTGTATTACATTGAAAAAAATACAGCAGCACATTATTTGATGTGATGCCTCATCAATTTGATTCCTTGTTCAAAATAAACACTCACTTCAATCCTGATGCCTGCAACACATTCCAAAAAAAGTTGGGACAGTAAAACATTTACCATGGTGTGATGTTGCCATTCCTTTTCACAACACTTAAAGACATTTAGGGACTGCGGATACAAAGCGATTAAGTGTGTCAGGGGTAATTTTGTCCCATTCTTGTTGCTGGTAACAGTTTGAATGGTCCTTTTCATCTTTGGTCTGGAGCACACACAGCATCATGACAGGTTTCCACTGTGTGATGGTCCATCCCAGATGCCTCTGAGCCCAGAGCAGTCAACTGCACCTATGGACACTGTTGACATAGGGCTTCCTTTTGGCACAGTACAGTTTAATCAGTGTTAATGGATGTAACTACATATTGTAGTGCCTGACACATGTGTGCCAAAGTAATCCTGAGCCCATGTGGTTATATCGCTTATAGAAGAGTGATGAGTCTTGATGCAGTACCATCTGAGGGATCGGAGAGCACGGTCATCCAACTTAGGCTTGTGCCCTTGTCCTTTACACACTGAAATCCCTCCACATTCCTTGAATGTTTTAATAATGTTCTGCACCGTAGAGGGTGGCATATCCAAATCCCCCTATATTTCTTTGACGAACATTGTTTTTAAACATTTCAGTAATTTTCTCACACATACAATATTTTGGCAAACTGGCGGTCCTTGGCCCATTTTTGCTCCTACAGGGCTCGGCCTTTCCTTGATGCCACTTTTGCACAAAATCATGATTGCAGTCACCTGCTCACATCATCTGTTTCAAATGGAACCATCATTTCATTGTTTTACCTCATTAGTAAACCTAAAATGTAACCATCCCAACTTTTTTGGAATGTGTTGTTTTTGAACATGGCTAAATCACTGTAGTAGTAGACAAAGGATCAATTTCAGGGGCTCGGCCTTTCCTTGATGCCACTTTTGCACAAAATCATGATTGCAGTCACCTGCTCACATCATCTGTTTCAAATGGAACCATCATTTCATTGTTTTACCTCATTAGTAAACCTAAAATGTAACCATCCCAACTTTTTTGGAATGTGTTGTTTTTGAACATGGCTAAATCACTGTAGTAGTAGACAAAGGATCAATTTCAGGGCAATGCAGTAGGGAAATGCAAACTGCAGGGGCTTTGTGCCTGGTAAAAGGACATGGATAATGGGAGGCCACATATGAAGCATGACCTTTCAGCAAAGAGCTAAAGAGAAGAGAGTCTAAATCTGCTGTAAAAAGCCAAATCAAAGTGTGGGATCAAAGGAGCAATGCAAGCTTTTCAAGAAAAATTTAAGCTAATACTTTTTTAGCCATGACAATGGTAGGTCTCTCAATGGGCGCCTTCTTTGCCATCTCCAGTAGCAGTCTCTTCAGTTTGTGAGGCATTGCCAGTTTCTGATTAGGTGATAAACTGAACTTGGCAGCAGCCCAGAGAATAGCAGCAACCCCATACACACAAACCTGAGCCAACACAGAAAAGCATACAGGATGGATAAACTGAACCAAATAATTAGTAAAGTTCAATCTAAAAATAACTGAAAGCATTTTGGATACAGACCTTCTCAGTCAAAATTCCATCCTCTTGATATTCAGGTGCAAAGTAAAATTCATCTTGGGATCCTGCAAAAAACAAGAAAAAGTCAGTTATAAGTCCACAAAACCCTCCAGACACTTTAGCCTGACATAGTTGCATTTGTGCCCTTTGAACATCTATTTTGTAAGTAAATTAAAATTTAATAAGTTAGACTGCTTGGCTTCCTTACATTACAGCAGCACAGAGCGAGAGCACAGCAAAGTAAACTTACCTATGGTTTTAGGTTTCAAGAAGAGCACTTCTCCCTCGCAGCCCACATACACTGTGTCGAGGCAAAAATATGCTGAGAGGAAAAGAGGAAAATCAGCTCTACAAAAAACTGTGAGCATCATATATATATATACACACAGATTGGATATATTTGCTTGGATAACTACATAGCTTGATGGCTACCATCTAAATATTAAAAAATAAGATAGACAAAGAGTACATCTTACAAAGTACTGGTTTCTGTATAAAGTGGGTAAAAATCACCTGGAAAGTCAATGTAGGTCTGCAGTGAGGACAGGCAGGTGTAACACAGAGCCCACAGCTCATTTACTGTCAGTCTCAGTCCAGAACGAGTAAGTAACTCTCTTAGCGAGATCCACTGGAGGGAAAATAAGAGACAAAACCCAGACTTAAAAAGACACGGGTTACAGAAGCTTCAGTTGATTTCTCAGTAGGTCTAATTAACTCAAATTGAAGTCACTTGACTTTTTCTAAATCTATTTTTCAGTGATCCAACTTTCAGTAATGATTTGTCTTATTGGTGTTTACACATCCTTTTGGCCTATTACTGATGATCATGTGTTTCCTCTGTGTCCACTCTGAAAATGTTGCATAACTCAGTAAATTCAAGTATCCTATATAGAACAGATTCAGGTCATTTTGTGCACATTATGGCACAGACGTTTTCTAAACTGACAGCAAATGTATAGTCTACATTAACCTTTCTACAATAAATTAGCCAAGCACACCTCACTATCATGGTAAGTATCTTTTTTGACTAGAAAAGGCACAACTTATATACACTGATCAGCCATAACATTATGACCACTGACAGGTGACGTGAATAACACTTATCTTATCACAATTGTACCTGTCATTGTGTGGGGTGTATTAGGCAGCAAGTGAACATTCAGTCCTCAAAGTTGATATGCTGGAAGCAGGAAAAATGGGCAAGTTTAAGGATCTGAGCAACTTTTTCAAGGGCCAAACTGTGATGGCTGATGACTGGGTCAAAGCATCTCCCAGACTGCAGGTCTTGTTGAATGTTCCTGGTCTGCAGTGGTTAGTACCTACCAACAGTTTCTAAGGAAGGACAAACCATGAACTGGTCATGGACACCCAAGGCTCACTAACGATGACATTGACCTACTGTAGATTAAACTTTAAAACATAATTCATCCTTTCAAAAGATTCCATTTTGTTTGAATCTGTACATTGGTCTCATTCAGTGGCTGTAGTGGTGATGTCACACCTAAAGTAGGGAGGCTGTTGAATTTGTCTAAAGCATTATCTCTAACTTGTCCTCGCTACCAGAGTTTTGACTCCATTAACATAGGTTTTTCACTGAATTGTAGACACATTAGTGCTCTTTTGGACACTATAAATATGGAAGCAAACAGATTCACACAAGATGCACAGTGAGATGCAGAGTGACATGAGTGCCAACCAACTGCTGCATTGACTACTGTGTACACAATATTAGGCAGGTGATCATAATGTTATGGTTGATTAGTATATACAGTAAGTTTGAGAGTGAAATAGCAGCAGAGACAGTAGACAAAACTTATCCCAACACAACATCCACTTACTATCTTTTTCAGCTTGTAAGTGGTCTCCCCACCAAAACGCCAGCTGTTATCACATGAGCAAAGACTTGTACTTAAGTCACATGTTGACAATAGAGAAAGAATCTCAATGTCAACTAAGCTGCTGTTGAAAATATGAACCTTTATTGTAGGCCTGAACATTAAAAACTTTTTTGAGCATGATTTAGATCCCTGTGCGATCTCAGTCTCACATGGCAATGATTCTGCTGTGCTTGCATTAGCAGTGAGGTGCCTTGCATCAAACCAAGTGCAGAACCATTGTCATGTGAGACTGACAACGCACTTGGATCTAAATCATGCTCACAAAACGATTTATCATGCAGCCCTACTTTAATGTCAGTCTAACGCTTCACATAGCTCAGCTCAGCTTGTTCTTGACAGCTACTCTTACTGACACACAGCCTATTGCCCAGTGGACTTTTATAACGGCACCAGACATAACTGCATTGAAATCAGAGCTGCAACTGCAAAGCCACACTGTAGATGTCACAGCTGCCTGGCATTGGCTAACCTCATCCTGGGATTCTTCATTCAGGCACAGCATACTCTTGGTCATGTGGTTATTAGGAATGTAGAGGTTATGGCTCAGTGGGCTCTGGTCTCCAGAAGAGTCCTGTTCCTTTTCCAGGTCCTGACAGGAAGTACAGGTAGATGCTAAGACCTGGATACAGTCATTAGAATCACTTTCATGGCATTCTTGAATTTTTGTTTCGCCACTGCACAAAGTCTCATCCCTGTTTTCTTGTGACATCTGATTGTCCACAACTGAGTCCACATAATCCTCAGTGCTACTGTGTGGGCAGGATTCACAGGACCTGCCCCTGTTGAATCGATGAAACCTGTTTCTCCACACAGGCTTGCAGCTCCAGTGTTCATCTGCTCCTATCTCAGTGAGGTCCGATACAGGTATACTGATATTTCCGTGTGCTGGAGGGGAAAGACACGGAGGGTTGTTGGAGTCTGGGATGGAACAGGAGCGGTTGAGAGCCCCCCTCACTCTGTTCAGCCTCTGCTGAGCTCTCCTCCTCACTGGGGAGCTGTTGTGTGACCTGAGGTCCATCTCATCTGCAAAGATTATGCCATCGTCTTCACTGCTGTCCATATCCTCAGCCCAGAGAGAAGAATCCCAGCCCCTGCACACCTGTAGATTAAGGATTATTATTCATTATGTACTCATTTGTTTTCAGATGTACTGAATGCACAGATAATCTTAATTATTAACAAATTAAGCAAATAGAGTTTAAGTATCCTCAAAACAGAAGTGGAAATGAAGGAACCTATAGAAGCTGTAGAAACAAATTATCTAAACCACAACTGACTCAAAACCTGGAAGGAAAAATTTAACAGCCTACTTTTCAATACTGATCAGTTATAAACTGTCAGGGCTTCATAACAGCACTCAATTAAAACTCGCTTTCCACTGATCAAAGCTTTTGTTATTGATATTGAACCTACATAGCCTGCAGTCAGAGAACACAATGATTTTACTCCATAAAATATGGAGCAAACTCATGTTAACGTAAAAAAAAGTTATTTTAGTATATTGAGTGAATTAGTGAACTGCTGTATCTTTTTAACTTATGATAGCTTATCAACTTACTTACATTATAGATACTGTATACAGATGAGTTTCCAAGCAATGTCTTCACTGAGTTGCAGTGCACATGCACAGTAGAAGATAAATCAGAATGACAAAGAGCTAAAGGGAACATGAAAGGCTTTTTGTGCCATAACATGAACAAATCACATAAGTAATGGGCGAAAATGTTTAACAGCCCAAAGAGGAAGCCTCCCCTTCAAAAAAGAGTTAGAGATTAGGTCTGTCTCTGGATTTTAATAAAGTCGTGAACAGTTTTTCCCATAAACTGATGGGCAGCAGTTTTAATATAAGGCAGCCCACACTGTTATTTGCTTGTTGCAGCTGGTTTAAAGAATAGTGCACAGGTTTGTCAGGCTCTATGATCAAAGCCATTGTGATCAATTTGATGTGAGTTTAGTTTTAGTGTGAGAACCTGCATCATGTTGTTAAATGTACAAAAACAAGAGGTGGGCAGCGGCTCTTTAGACTTTGACCGACAATACTTGTTAAATCCTACTGGTACTGCTGGAACTTTCTGATAGCATGTAGCATATTTCTAGAGTCTGGTACTTGATGGCAAACAGAAGTAGTTTTATACATGCTAACATTACTAAAATCCAGAATGGCAGCTTCTGTGCTCTTAGTTGGAGGAATTTAATTTATGCTAATGTTACCTTTTTAATGATTTATTTTCAATACATTACTAGTGTTAAGAGGGGAAGTCTGTTCATACATGCTGCACAAGCTAATTTCACATTATCTCGGTTAGTGTTATCACTGCTATTAGACATTTCTCCCTGGAGAAATTAGCTAGTCAAAGCCAACAGATGTCTGTGTATACTAAAACAGCTTTAGCAATGTGAGGACAAGTGCTGCACACAAATTTACCTCTACACTGTCATTTTACTGATTTCTGTGATGCTGCTTTAGTTCTAAACACTATTTATAATAGTTAAAAAATTGCCTTATTTTTAAACACAATATAAGTTAAAAAAAAGAAGCTATTGTTTGCTGCACATTCTGTTACTTGAGTTATTTCTTCCTCCAGAGCAGAAGCAACACTCTGGCACACACCTGTTGCCTGGACAGACCATTCGCCTTAACAGAACTGTCACTGCACAAATCTTTGGTGTTGTCATTCAAGCTAAGTCTTTTAAGCAGGCATCTGGGTTTGGGCTGCTGCCATCTCGCCTCCCAAGAGCATTCCTGTCCATCTGTGGATATACAGAACAGAGATGGCAATTAGAACCAAGAGAAATCACAGCAGAGATCAAGTAGTGACACAATTAAATAGATTTACTACACTGACCTTGAAAAGTTGAAAGTGATTCAATGGAGAGCATCCGTCGCCCAGCTGAAGACAGTTTCCGGCACACAGCTGCAGAGGAGGTATGAGACAGCTGTGCCTCAGCCAGAGACAGGATGTCCTGTGGGAGTAGGTTTACAATATTCAAAAAAGACATGATGCTTATGTTCTATTTTTACATTTACTACAAATACTTGTGGACAGATCAAGAAATTAACCTTTTTTAATTCTTTGCAAGTATGTACAGTATGTAATGCATATATTGTATACACACACACTTGGATTAAATGCCTGACAGAGGATATTTGATGGAAACATTGCTGTTGCAATGCATTTAGAGTACATTTCAGTACTTTTTTGTCCCTGTTGTAGAAATTTATGTTGTGGCACACCAACAGGGAAGGGACTTCCAACTCCCAGACCTCAACAAAGTATAGGACATACAGTATACTGTGTAATTTGCACTGACACAGCATTTCCACTTGATGCTGCTCAAGAGCAATGGCCAGCTACTGTACACTGGTAATTAGCTCATCTAATACTCATAAGAGAAAAATAGACTTCAATTAATGCTAAAGCAATAATTTCTGTAAACACATTTTCTTCTCCTAAAGGACCCACAAGATTCTACTTGTGCTATAAAGGAATGGTGAAGGAGCGGTGTGTGGGATGTTTATTGGCTTGTTGGGTAAAGACATTATCAACACTGACCACACACATGCTGTTGTGCTATCCATCTACTTGGGCAGGGATGGCTCTATAATTACACAAATCTGTTTCTCTGAGTGTTTCTATCATTATGTCCTAAGACTATGTTAGGGGGTTTAGGTACTGTACATTTATTGTTGAGGGCTAAGCTGAAACTGCAATTACTACTTATATGTGTCAGGTCCGCTCAGTGCGGCCTGCCTCTCCTCCTCCTCCTTTCTCTCTCTCGTCATGCAGGATCTGCGCCTTAGCTGTATCGCATTCGGTAATCAGTGAATTGTTGGTTAGCGCACAGCTGAGGTGCATTGCTGGAATTACGTTTTCCTCCCTTATTTAAACCTCTGGCAGACGCTCCGTCGTCGCCGGAGCAATAACTAACTATGCATGTGCATGCACATGTGTTTTACTATGTGCATGTGCATGTGCATGTGCATGCGCATGCGTATGCGTATTCTCACAAGTGTCAGTGCCTCATTGTGGCATGAGTAAGTAGGGTGTTGGCCCCATCTTTTCCAAAGAGCATATGGATGCCATCTCACAGAGTGAGAGAGGGGAAAAACTATAGGAGCCTGAATAAGAGGAAAGAGAAAGGGAAATGGAAAGAATAAGAGAAGAATGATAAATTAGCATCTGGCTTGTGTATTTGGAAGCCAGAACACATCCCTAATTCCTTGTTCTTTTCTTCCTTTATGGATTTGCCAGTGGAGGGTTTTGGTTAAGTCGAACAGGTAAACACACAAACTAACGGCAGGAAACAGGGTAAGTATTGTCCATAACATATAGCAATGCTCCGGAGACGAATCAAAAATATGTAGTGCAGTGGGAATTAGCGTAGCTCGTAGGTAGTGTGGTAGAGTCAAGCCAAAACGCACAATGTCTGTCAGCGTAGCATTCTACCAAAATGTGTAGTGTAGTGGGAATTAGCGTAGCGCGTATGTAGTGTGGTAGAGTCAAGCCAAAACGCACAGTGTCTGTCAGCATAGCATTCTACCAACATGTACAGTCCGCGTTACTATGTTATGTATAATATGTAGTGTAAATTAGTGTAGCGCGCAGGTAGTGTGGTAGAGTCAAGCCAAAACACACAGTGTCTGTCAGCGTAGCATTCTACCTCACTCCAGGTTGCGCAGTACATAGCTAATGTTCCGGTCTTCAGTTTTTCTTTTTTATTAAATCTGCAAAAAAGGCAAAAAATCTGTGTTTTTCTGTCAATATAGGGTGCTGTGTGTACATTAATGAGGAAAAAAATGAACTTAAATGATTTTAGCATATGGCTGCAATATAACAAAGAGTGAAAATTTTAAGGGGGTCTGAATACTTTCCGTACCCACTGTAAGTAAGGAGCAGGTAATCATCGGGATGCACCCCAGCTGTGTGCATCGACAAACCAGTTGCTAATTACTGGAATGCAACACAGCTGAGGTGCAGAGCCCACATGATAGAGAGAGCAGAGGAGAGAAAGACGGAGGAGAGGCAGCGGCCGCTGAGCGGCCCTGACAACACATGTGTTAAGCAATACATAATCAGGATCACCGCTGACAGTCCCTGTGCAGTTGATGTCGGTACATTTGCTATTCTTTTTCATTAGAGAGAGCAGAGGAGAGAAAGACGGAGGAGAGGCAGCGGCCGCTGAGCGGCCCTGACAACACATGTGTTAAGCAATACATAATCAGGATCACCGCTGACAGTCCCTGTGCAGTTGATGTCGGTACATTTGCTATTCTTTTTCATCTGTTCGTCCTGATCCTCCTACTCTCCTGGTTCCTGCCGTTAGTCTGTCTACTCACCTGTCTGTCCGGGTCTCCTCAGCCGTCACAGCCCTACTCTGTTTTTGTACTGTCCAAACCTGGTCATATATATATGTTGACTCTGTCACTTTGTTTGTGTTGCTACCATTAAACCACCTTTTTTCGCTAGCACCTGGGTCTGCACCTTGAGTCCTACCTCAGTTCTTCCTCACCCCCCTGGTGAGGGGGATGTAACCATAACAATATGAGTAGAATTTACTATTCACACTATCATCTATTTAAATGTTTATTACCTCTGCCAAGGGTGGGGGTTATGTTTATGCTGGCGTTTGTTTAACAGCATAATTCAAAAAGTAATGAACAGATTCTGATAAAGGTTTTTGGAGATTATGACCAAAAATGACTGACTCTTTGACAATTATCTTATCTAATACTTTCATCTATTTCTCTGCAGGGATGGTGATTCTGTTCCCTATTTTTCAGACTGTTGAATTGTCTTGCAAATTATTGAACTGCTTAGAATTATTGTAATAATAAATAATTATTTGGATGATTTGCCTGAATTAATTTAGTTAACATCTGACCTCAATGACCACAGTTTAGCAAACAGCTGCTGAACAAGCAGAACACAAACTTGCAGGAATGTGATGTCTTCACCACTCTGCCTGTGATCCACTAATTGAAATCCCTTTTTTACCCCTAAACCGAGTGAATGTCTGTCAAGTATTTTTGTTTATCTTGAATAACTTTCAAACTAATAATGATATCCCAAATGCCAACAGTAGGTTTTCAAGCAATCATATTATGAGGGTCAAACTATCACTGGAATGCTGCTTTAATGGTATTAATGAAGCTGCTCTTGGTGGAGGTTTGCGCTCTTTATTTCAGCCATTTTACTTCTTTTTAACTGGATACCATGACAATACAATTACTCAAACAACAAATATAATTATTCCACTACTGATGGGGACAGATGGTGATGGGGAAACCATACAGCTTTCTATCAATCATTCTAGCAGTACAGAACAGCCAGAAGGGTTTCTATACCTGCAGCAGTGGCCTGTCCTCAGGCTTCTCCTCCTGCATTTGTTCCAACAACTTCTGGATTTCTTCCCCCAGCTCAGCCTCCAGCTCTGGCTCAATGATAAAGCTCAGCGCAGCAGAAAGTGTAGATCCCAGAGAGTAAACATGGCCCTGCAGCCGGTGACAGAGAAGAAAACACTATCATCATTAGGAAGCAGTTCAACTGTGAATTACAGTAAGCACTGAGAATGCCAAAGAGGACTCACTCCCAACAACTGAAGCAGACTGTACCCATACTTATGTGGTCAGCACATGTGCAAGGCGGATCCCAGAGTGGGTCACCAAAATAGAAGAGTAAATACTCAGCTGGCTTTAACTCCTGTTTTGCTATGCTACTACTTTGGTCGTGTGTAATATCTCTGTTGGCAAAAACACACTTGAAAATAACAGAAGTTAAGAAAAGGTTAGTGCTTTTGTCAAACATTTTGCGTTTTTTAAAGACAGCAAAATTACAATGCATGGTTTATTTTGAAATTCAGTTACATAAGTCAGCTGTAAAGTTATTCATGCAATGAGCAGAGTGGTGACACCACTCTGTATTACATTAAAGGACACCAAAAGCATTTGAATCCAATCACAAAGGCATGATTCTATTTTAGAGCTAAAAGACTTCCCATTTCAGCGCTATTCTTATAGGGGCAGATGGTCAGGGAATTATCTATAGAATAAAATTCATTTACCAATCCTCAAAAGAGCATAAATAATTTATATGAACATTTATTAAGCCACAACAGACAGTGAGAATAATGCATATTTTCCCCAGAGAACGCAGGAAAGATGATACATGTCATATCCAGGAGGTGCAGGTACTCTATATTGTGCCTTAAAATGAACAGTATGCCAGTACACAGCCCCACTAATAAAAAGTCACTTTTGGCTTTTCCCATTTAGGGGTCACCACAGTGAATCATCACACCGACAACTCGCATGTTGACATTTGGCACGTGTTTTATGCCGGATGCCCTTCCTGACTCAACCCTGACTTGAACCCGGACTGCAGCAGCGAGAGCGCTGAACTTTAACCACTAGCCTACCAGGGACCACACAGCCCCACTAATCACTTCACTTAAAAGCTCCAGTCAGAGGAACAGGTGGCTCATACCAGTCTGTCATAAGTTTCGAATGGGTCATGTTTAAAGCATAACTCAGTTTGAGTTCAACGGGACCTCATTTTGAAGCTGCACACAATGTTTCTACTAATAATAGGTAAGTAATAAATAAGTAAATGCACCGACAGCCATCTTTGTTTTCTCAGTCTTTTGCAACCCATCCCAGATTACTTTTACCACAAAAGAACTGTTAAATATCGGACAACTCACACCGAACTACCTTTCTCCAATTTTTGTGAACGAAAAATGCTGTATGGAGAATCTAATCGGAGGCACAGCTGCAATCTCTGGGATCTGGAAGAAGCATGCGGGCGTCTTAGTGAGGCTATGCCAGAGAGGGACCCAGACTCCACTCCCGTCTATCCACCTAGCAAAGCTCCCTGGTCAACAAGACGGATGAAATTCTTCTCGTCAACAGGACTAACCCTGACTTTGCACATTCTGCTGCTTTGTGCTTCATGGAGACTTGGCTCAGCGACTCGATCGCAGACAGCACGATACAAGTACCGGGCTTCCAGGTGTACAGAATGTAATGGAGCTGTGTGGGAAAACGAGAGGAAGTGGAATCTGTTTCTACATAAATGAAGGTTGGTGCACAGATGTCACAGTGCTACAGAGGACATGTAACACGGACTTAGAGACTCTTGTTCTCAACTGCAAACCCTTCAATTCTCCCTGAGAATTATCGTGCTTCATCCTGGTGGGTGTCTATTTAAAGCTGCAGGCCCACGCTAGTGCACTACAGCTCCTGTCCGAACTGATAACTAGTGTGGAGCTAGAACACCCCGACTCTCCACTCATTGTCCTAGGGGATTTTAACAGAGCAAATCTCACCCACTAACTGCCCAAATACAGACAGCACGTTACCTGTCCCACCAGGGACAAAATCACACTGGACCACTGCTACACAACAATAAAAGACGCCTATCGCTCTGTCCCCCATGCAGCCCTCGGACGCTCTGATCACTGTATGGTCCATCTTATTCCAACCTACAGGCAGAAACTCAAAGCTGCCCCAGGAGCTGCTGATACATTTCTACAGAGTGTTAGGTATTTTTAGTCAAATAGATATTGGTCAGGTACTTGTTGTATTAGAAATGTTTAGTGGAGTCAGGATGTCTAGGTAGGCTGTCAAATGCTTAGTCATGCTCATGAGTTTTTTGCAGGGTGCACATGGTCAAGGATAACTTGTTAAGGAAACGCTCGACACAAGGGTGAGCGAGCGGAGAAAACAGCAGACCCAGGCGGCTGGCTTCGGTGCAAGCAAAGATTTATTTACAGTGTTTAAGTAGTGCATCAATATATACAAAGTGAAGTGGTGAATATAACCGGGTGTCAACCAGCAGTAGCAGGAGTTATGGTACGTGGAGTGATGATGGACCGGGCTGCAGGGGTAGGAATCACTCCTGGGCTGGTCGGGCAGGAGATCCGGTTGACTGAGGAGGTAATAGGAGAGATACAGTTAAATTGGAGACTGTGCATCGACCTGTGATGGTGGTGGCTGGTGGAGCTGAGGAACAAGAAAGAGCGATAATCCTAGGGAGGTCTGACGACGTAGAAAGAACTAGCAGGGGAGTGATGGGTGAGCAGAGTATAAATGAGGAGTGAGACAAAAGAGGTGCAGCTGATGAGTGTCAGAAAATCAGGGCAGGTGTGTCTAATCAAATAATCAGTGTGAGGGAGCTGACTAGGGCGAGAAAAGAGAAGAAAGGAAAGTGCAGCCGGCCAAACCTGACATAACTAGATAGAAAAGTTGATGACTGTTAGAAGACAGGATGATTATTCTTATTATTATTATTATGTGTTTAACTGTAATCGTAATCATAATATTTTCTTATGTTTTATGTCATGACATGTCACTAGAGGTCGTGTTAGAATGTTACAGGTCTCTATTTATAAGGTACTCTGTTTTTATTCGTGTCTGTGCAGATTCTCAGTCATCCAGGTCATAGTAAGCTGAAAAAAACTTAGAAAAAATCAACTGGACTAGATTTCTAGGTCGAAGACGTTTCACCTCTCATCCAAGAGGCTTCATCAGTTCTGACTGACT